CCAGAAATTGCTACAATTGTCTAAATCTAAAAAGGGGCAAAGGGGAAAGCAACGGCCAGAAGAATGATGACAACACAGCTGCTATGGTGCAAAATAATGACAATGTTGGCTCTGATACCAGTTTGTTGGAAAAACGCAGACGAGCACAAAAATATATATAGTAAAAGTAATTGAAATAAAATGGGAAAAATAACGACACCAAGATTTTTACGTGGAAACCCTTCTGAATAAGGGAAAAAACCACGGGCCAAGAAGAGCAATTGGTATTACTATAGTAAGGAATTTTTACACTGTGTAGTCACGAATACAATACTCAAAGTGACTATTACACATTCAAAAGGAAACACTCTTTTGGTTTCCGTCTTACTAAAATATCGCTCACACTCTATTTTTCTTCACAGATTATTTTCTTGTATAGTCTATAGAATACCTCACTTTGCTCTCAAAATAGTTTTTCTCTCTAACTTGGTGTATACTACAAATGAACAAGAATGCTCTATTTATAGAAGGATAAAACCATGTCTATGTCACTAATGACATATGTAAACATAGCAAAGTCAAGAATGGTTGCAACTCTTACCAATTTGCCAACTACCAAATCTTTTATTTTCAACTGCAATTATTATTCTTTTTTAACAATTGCTTGTACCAATTGAATAGCTAAAGTTGACTAAATAATGGGATGGATTGAACTGTTCGCTGATTGTGTGAGCTTGTCGAAGAAGATGTAGAACAGTAAGGGTGTGAGTTGGTTCGAGAAGAGTCTGGTACGGTGGTCATTGAGGGAGAAGGGTCTTTTTGCCAAGGGTTTTCTTAGTCGGAAAAGGTAACTGGAAATGAAGGGGGGGGGGGTTGGGTGTCTTGGTTAGGCACCGTTTGTGCGATGGGAGGGCGACAATTGTTGTTGGATTTGGCCGGATAAAAGAGTTGGTTTCTGCTTATTCTATGGTCGTGTTGCCGGTAGTTTAGTAGTTGTTTGGCGAGGTTCTGGAGCACAAAGGGGTAGTGATGGGGTCTGGTTGGTCGGAGCTACTGGTAACAACCAAACGGAAAACAAAAAAAGGGGTCTTTGGAATTTGGATGGTGGACTCATCGGAATTTGGCGGAGCTCCGGTGACTTGCCGGAAAAATAACAACAAATAAAAAACACTTTTTGAAGTCTAGAAATCTAAAAATTAACCCCTAAAGTTTATCCACCACCCTAATGATCAACAATTCTTTATATTTCTCGTGAGTTCTTGTGGAGAGAAAGAGAAAAACGATAGAGTGATTCTTCTTCCTTCTAATATTCTATTTTCCTGGATATAGTAATAAAAGAATCTTTGTTACTTTTTGGCTCCTAGCTTGTTGAATCCTGGATACACCTATATCGGGTTAAATATCCGTAAGGTCGTTTGACACGCCTCAAGCTTAAGGAATTCCCTACAAAGTTCATGGTGAAGTATAAGTTTTGGTGAACTCCATATAAAATATTCGTGATGAAAGTATTTTTTCGTAAAATATACAACATTCCCTTGAGCAAGGAGGTGTCCACGTAAAAATCTTTATTCTTATTATGTACTTTAGTTTTTACTGCATGAAAGTGTGACATGGACCTACTCCTGTGACGTGTGGTGGACTCGTATTAGTTATCACAAGGGATGCATAAAGCACATTTGCACAAACACGGCTTAGAAACAATATTTGTCTAACTCACAGGGAACGTAACATCAGCAATTTGCTGTTTTATGTCCTGCCAGACAAGCTATAAAGCAGACGATACACTTTACACATACATTGGTTTAAAAACATTAATTTTGACGGCTTAGCAGCTGCCTAACTCACAGGGAGCCAAACCTATATACATTCATGGGGGACCAAATCTTGAAGATGAATTGAATGAGTTAATAACTCATATTTTCATTCAACGGTAGTTGAATGACCGTATAAGTTATTCACGCTGAATTAAATCAAAATGACTTCCTGATTTTCATTTCCATGATAGTTACAAAGTTGATAATCTAACTCAGGCCCCATCCCATTTTTTAGTCAACTTTAGCTATTCAATTGGTATAAGCAATTGTTAAAAAGAATAGTAATTGGAGTTGAAAATAAAAGATTTGGTGATTGGCAATTTGATAAGATTTGCAACCAGAACGTTCCAATAATACTCCAATAATTCTTGACATTCCAATTAGGAGACAAACAAGTTTCCAATAATGCTCCCTCTATACACTTTTATTTGTTATATTACGCTTTTTAAAAGTTAATTTGATTAATTTTTAGAGTTAAATTAGATTATATTTATCTGATATTTTAAATAAAAAAATTAGATATTCAAAAACTATACAAAGAATACTATAAATTACAAATTTTTTTACATATTAATATGATTAAAAAATACATCATAAAATGTTAGTCAAAGTTTTTATTGTTTAACTCTATAAAAGAAAATCATGACAAATAAAAACGGAGGGAGTAGTTCTTTATAATTAGGTTATGACCCCATAATTGATACTATTAGAATATGATTTTATTCATTGATGATATAAATAATTTTTTTTTATATTATCAGTCCATTTTAAATTTTTAGAGATTTTTTTTCCCTTTGAATTTCACGAGTCTAAACGAGTTTCACGAGTCTAAATGAGTTTCACTTTGACCTTAATATTTTTTCTAAGTTTTTAAAATATTTTAAATTATCAATAATTGTGACTTATAGTACATTCTATATAGTTTTTAAATATGTAAATTCTGTTTTTCTTTTAAAATGAAGATTTTATGCTAAAATTCACGATTAAAATTTTAAAACTCTGAATATTTTAACGCTGTCAAATAAATTAAAATAAAGTAAATATTTAATACATCATTTGATCATTATTGATGCATGAACTTAAACTAGAATATTTTTTTAATTTCAAATCAAACAGTGAATAAAAATTGATGTATGTTAGACTTTAGACATCACAACCAAACAAAAATTACTGTTTTTGAAAAAAAGTGTGCAACTTGAATAAATTTTAACTATATGTATATATCAGAAAATCAAATTAAGTATGCAGTTATATTCAGAGAACAGTTAGAATTAAGAACAAAAATGAATTAAAAAAAGAGGATGAAATTAGATTCTTGTAGATCCTCTCTGCATTTCTTTATAACAACACAATCAAATCTCTCAATAACAGACATTATTCATATAAATATTTTTTTAATTGGTTTAGCAAAATATTATATCGTTGATAGAAACGATTTGAGTGTAATCGTTTATCATAATTATTCAAAAGATATTTATAGTGATCCCTACATCCTCAATCACATTCTCTACCCTTCAGGTGAACACTTTACGCATATTGGATAATTAAAAGCAAAGTTTTTTTAAAAAAATTGGTTCAAGTATCACTATCACCAAGAAATAACAAAAAAAAAACCTATATAAAATGAGTTATGGGGTGGGTTAAACGGTATTTGAAATTTGGGTTAAATATTTGATCGATCCGTGTTGAGGTGTAGGGTTGTGCCACGTGTACAAAATGACTCTTCCATTAGTGGAAAGGGCAAATGTGCAACTAGTTATTGGACGGCGAGTATATTTATGGACGAAAAGTATAATGAAGGATATTGGCGTATCAGTTTTGAAAGTTCGGAAATATTTTTGTCCATTTTCCCTATATATATTCCTTTGTATAAACAATACTAGTCTTTGCTCACGTGCAACGCACGTGTACCCTATTAATTAATATTTCGTTTTTTTTTAAATGACACAAGTATAAAATATATAAATGAGGCATAAAGTAGATTTTTTAGAAAAATAATCATAAACTTGAAACAATGAAGGGTGGCATGTATACTCCAAATTTTGTGTATTAATTGAAACGTCAAGTAATATTACCCTATTATCAAATATAGATATGAGAACCATATATTTATTCACTGGTCATTTGTATTACATACACTTGTATTATATATATGCATAACTTTTCAATTTAATTGGTACCATAAAAGTGAGGTTCAACCATATTATTTTAATTCTTACCATAAAAGTGGCATTACTACGATGACTTTCTGAAAGTTAATGTCTCTATAATCCTATACTATGTGTTGACAGTAATAACTACATTTCTTAAAGGATGAAAAAGTTCGTCAAAGAACCAACAAAAATTGAAATCCCAAGATAAAAAATAGAAAACTATCGCATAACGTATAAAATTGAGCAATACCTCGAGAATACATTTCAAAATTACTAAAAATAGTAAAAAAAAACAAATATAAAGAAACATTCAATGATACAACATATGAACAAGACCACACAAAAATAAAATAATAATTGTGTAAACCTCTTCTAGTCTAGATTGAAACCATAATGAGGCTAAGCATATCAAATACCATAAAACCAATAAAAAAGTTGATATTCAAAGAATACATCAAAATCTAATATTAAGAAAGAAGAATCAAAAGCAAATAACACTAAAAATACAATAAACAAAATCAAGATTAAATAAATAAAATAACAAAAAAAGAAAAAAACATAAAGATTTAATATGAATGAAATTACCTTTAGTGTCTATACTACTTCTTGTATATCTTTTCTCTATTAACAACAAAAGGTGATAAAGAAATAATCACTGACACAGTCCCAAACCAAAATTAAATTGATTTTGATAAAGAAGAATTGATATACACATTTATTAAGAAAAATACAACTTTTGGTCTTTCCTCTTCTTGTAACTATTTTCCAAAAGAATTTGAACCATTGTGTCTAGAGGCATGAATTTAAATAAAAAAATATTATCTAATATTTAATTAATTATATATTAATATTTATTTAGTTTAGAGATAAAATAAAGGCAAAATAGTAATTCAATTTTTAAATTGAGAGCTTCATGCTTATAATAATATATGATACAGTGGAACATTTTATCAAAAAATCTAAAAATTGAAAAACATTTTATACAAATATTTTCCTCCAAACAGAACTTATCCTTTAGTCTTTGTTTTTTATGACATGGTCCCCAGTGGATCAATTATCTAAAGATTAGATGGAACAACTTCTACTAGATCCCATGAAGTATAAAAATTGTAAGCCAAATATGCACAAAGGACACAACATAGTTTCCATGGAAATTCTTGATTGTTCCATTATGTCCATAACAGCCACCGTTGTCTCATTTCTCTTTTGTGGATTCATAGTTCATCTTCTGACAAGAAAACTACATGACAAAAGGAGATACCATCCAATCGGTGGCACCATTTTCAATCAGCTCATCAACTTCCACAGGTTGCACCATTTCATGACTGATCTTGCTGGCAAGTACAAGACTTACAGATTGATTAGCCCTTTCAGGAATGAGATTTATACTTCTGACCCTGCTAACGTTGAGTACATTCTCAAAACAAACTTTGACAACTATGGCAAGGTACATCATTTTCTTGAACTTCATTTTATGCTATAATTTGATATGATTCTGAAAAGCCCCATTATTTAGTAACTTTTGCCTTTGTTAGAGTGAGTTGGAGTTCCATATCGGTTGGAGAAAGAACTGGTGGTTTTCTTATATGGAATTGGCAAATTTTTCACTCCTGATCTAGGTTTTGGGATTGAGTTAGACCCAAGTATCGTATCTTAATATGGTATTAGAGTCAGGTCCGTCCATCCTGTTTTAGGTTCCAGTTAGGCTTGGGCATGAAGGGGTTGTTAGAATTCCATATTGGTTTGGGAATAGATTAGTGGTCTACTTATGTGGACTTGTGCAATATTCTCCTCATGAACTATCTTATTTCCAGCATCTGAATAACTCTCAAATAAGTTGCAGATGGCGACAAGATACTTCCAATAGATGTAACAGAATAATTTTCGGGTTGCCAACTTGAGTTTTTCGAATAATCTGCAGGGATGGCATAGTTACAGCATCCTAAAGGACCTGTTAGGGGATGGAATTTTCGCAGTTGATGGTGATAAGTGGAGGGAGCAGAGGAAGTTGTCGAGTCACGAGTTCTCCACAAGGGTCTTGAGGGATTTTAGCAGTGTGGTTTTCAGAAAAAATGCAGCCAAGTTTGCCCATATATTGTCTGAACTTGTCAAATCCAACAAGATAGTGGACATTCAAGTAAGTACTTGTCCATGAATTGACTTCATAGAAGGATTGTTTGTTTTACCAGACTAGTAATCCTGGTTTTATCGATGTAGGATCTGTTCATGAAAGCAACTCTAGATTCCGTATTCAAGGTTGCCTTCGGAGTTGAGCTAGACAGCATGTGTGGTTCAAATGAACAAGGCAAAAACTTCAATGCTGCATTTGACAACGCAAGTGCAATGACACTTTGGAGATATGTTGATGTTTTCTGGAAGATTAAAAGATATCTCAAAATTGGATCAGAAGCAAAGTTAAAAGAAAATATAAAAATTGTTGACGCATTTGTTTGTAAACTGATCCGTAGAAAAACTGAGCAGATGAGTGCGCCAGAAGCTGATTTATCTGTAAGCGAATCACCTCAAATATATAGCTATACTACTTTTATTAATGCATATGTATAGATTCTTAGACATTATAGTCTTTTGCCTGTTGCAGTGGAAGAAAGAAGACATTTTGTCAAGGTTTCTGCAAATATCTGGTACAAATCCAAAGTATTTGCGTGATATAATATTGAACTTCGTAATAGCAGGCAAAGATACAACAGCAACCACCCTTTCCTGGTTCATATATGTGCTATGCAAGTACCCTCATGTACAGGAGAAAGTAGCACAAGAGATCAAAGAATCAACAACCGAGAAAGAAAATGCAACAGATATAACAGATTTTGCTGCCAATGTAAGTGAAGATGCCCTTGAAAAGATGCAATATCTTCATGCAGCACTGACAGAGACCTTAAGGCTTTATCCTGCAGTTCCAGTGGTAAAAAAGAACTTGTCTTATCATATAGATGTGGCCTAGTAGATTCTTGTATGTTTTTATGTTGTTATTTTTGTTTTCCAATTTCTGCAGGATCCAAAAATATGCTTTTCTGATGACACCTTACCAGATGGATTCAGTGTGAAGAAAGGGGACATGGTGAGTTACCTACCATATGCAATGGGAAGAATGAAATTTATATGGGGTGATGATGCAGAAGAATATAAACCGGAGAGATGGCTTGATGGGGACGGTTTCTTCAGGCAAGAGAATCCCTTCAAATTTACAGCTTTCCAGGTTGTTTTAAAGCTCATCATAAGCTTTGATTATCATTTTGTTAAAGCCTTGAACGCGAGTCTATACTTAACTTGCCTAGTGCTATGTACTGTCGTCATATGATCAATTAACTAAGCACATTCTTTTGTTAATAAAACAGGCAGGGCCAAGGATTTGCTTGGGAAAGGAGTTTGCTTATAGGCAAATGAAGATATTCTCTGCTGTTTTATTACATCACTTTGTTTTCAAGTTGAGTGATGACAACAAGGCTACCAACTACAGGACAATGATTACTCTTCACATTGATGGGGGATTGCATGTTCGTGTCTTTAGTAGACAGCGCAATTAGAAAGATCGAGTTTGCACTGATATGTATTACCGAATTTTGTTTGTAACATCAATATCCAAAATAAGACTATCAAATGACAATGAGATTTGCTATCTATGGAATCTGTCATGGTTACACATTCACATTTTCCTTGTTTCCCCTTATTTTTTCATGTGATTTTCAGTGGAATAACGATTGCACCTCATTGCTGTTTACTGTTCACGAGTAATAACAGGCATATGAAAAGGTTCATTTAGAAGTAAACTTCAAATGATATTTCTCTTTTGAATCAAAACATCTATGAAGATTTTATTCAAATACACATAAACAAAACACAAATCTCTTAAAAATTATTAGGGATACATGAAAACATAGACCTAAAATTCATCCATATTAATTATTAGAGGTATAATTAAAAGACTAGAGCAGCCCTCTTGTTTTGCAACATTCAATTGCTCCATCATACATTTCCTCTAATTGTCCATAGTACTTAAACTCAAATCCAGTGTCCAAGAGCTTTTTTACTGAAAGTTTGGGATATTTTAGACCCTCCATTGAACTACAAAAGAGATTATCATTAATTAGTTTAATTTTTTGTATTATATCATATTGTTTATCCTTAATAGTTGATTTTAAGAACCAAAAAGAAGGAGGACATTTTTTACTTACCCTTCTATAATGGGTATTTCATATTGAGGATATCTGGCCGAAAGAAATTTGGAGAGTTCAAATATTGTAGTTTCTCCAGAAGAACAAATATATCTTCCATTTGCATTTGAATGCTCAAAAAGAAAGATATGTGCATTCACCACATCATCTACATGTACAAAAGGTATGTATTTTTGTTGTTCTAGCACACCTTCTTCGCCATTTCCTGTAAAAACATAAGAAAGATCAAAAATATATTTATATATGTTACAAATGATGACGACTTACGAAATATGATGTCCAGAAAAATTTGAACAGTGAATGGACAATGAGGAGTTATGAAGGGTCCATGTATCCAAGAAGCAGCTACAGAAACTAAGTGGAGTCGATTTTTTGCTGCAAATTCAATGGCTGCTTTCTCTGTCAATGTCTTACAGGTTGAATAACATAACAGAAACGGCTTTGCAAATTTGATGAAATCAACATCACTCCAAGAGCTTTCATCTAAGCCTTTATCATTAAATATAACAGAAGCAACACTGGAAGTATACACGACTCGCTTAACTGTCTTTGAATCAACACACGCTTGTAAAATCCCCAATGTTGCTGTAATGACACTTTTCACCTTTATTTCATCGACTTCTTCCTTTTCAAAATCCATGGGCTGAGCTACATGGAAAACTCCCACACATCCTTCAATTGCTGCAGTAAAACTTTGTGGTTTGTTCATATCAGCATTGAAAATTTGAAGTCTCTCTGATGCACCTTCTAGTTTTGTGAGGTACTTAATATCTCTGTTTCTATCTGAAAAAAACAGTTTACGAGATACTATTAACTCCGTATTGAGAGATTGATATTTGAAAATTTAATTTATATTAACCTGGATGAGATCGAATGGTGGTGTTGACAGAGTAGCCACGTTGAAGAAGCCTCATGATGAGCCATGATCCAACAAATCCTGTTACACATACCCTGCCCATTTCTTTGATTTCCATCTATTCTTCTCTCGTTTAGAATTTGAGTGAAACTAATCATAAATTAACACTTCTAATTAATTTTATACACTTGAACTTGTCTAAATTTTTTGCAGTTTCTTGTTAATCTTATGTTTATGTGAAACTAATGATAAATTAGCACCTTTGTTAAGATCAAGATAGTAATGCATAAAGGATCGTATCAAAAGTTTAACTAACTTACATTCACAACCATAAGATGTGAGCAATTTAAATTACTAAACACTAACGAATACAAAAGTGAGTAGAAAATTAAAAGTAATTTACCCAAAAAAGACTTTGGCAACACAACTCTCTTGCAAAATACTCTCTATAAAGAAGAAAACAAAACTAAACTATTTTTTCTCAAATGGATGAGTCTTCAACTGAGGAGCATACCCTTTTTTTATATATATAGGGATCCTATTTACTATACCATATGAGCAAACCTACCAAAACGTAGTTAATAGCATTTTAGAAATAAAATCTTATGAAAGAAAAAAAAAAGATATTATTTTATTATTACTTAGAAGTCACGTTATTCATATTATTTCTTTTGATGAGTAAGAAATTCAATCATAATATCTGAACAAATCATAGTTGTAGATTCGATTTTCTAATTAGTTTAATTGGTTCCAAGGTATTATCAACTGTGATTTTTTTTTTTAGGGAAAATACATGAATTCAGTACTTTAAATACTTAAACTATTGGGACAATCTATTACACACCTATGCTACTCAAAATTAATTTAATACCACCATCAAAGTCGATGTGAAATACAAAATAAATAAGACGTGTTTAAGTTAACATAAAGCCATTTTTTCCCCATACTTTTCCTTCACGCCACCTTATCTTTCTTAAAATTTTAGTTAATAATTAAAATTTCATGTCAGCAAATTTTAATGGAAAAAATAATTAAATAAATTGAGTGACTTTCTGTAAAAAAAAAAAAGAGTCATAGTTGCATAACTTTTGAGTTGAAAATGAAATTTGAGCGACTTTCTGTAAAAAAGAAAAAGTCATAATCGCATGACTTTTGAGTTGAAAATGAAATTTGAGTGACTTTCTATGAAAAAAAATTGATAATTGAATGACCATCAAAGTTATTAACTCAATATCCCGTTCTCTAGACAGAACCATGGAGAGAAGTTGTATTGATATCCCAAATCATTGCTTTAGTTGCCTTATAGTTCACCATTTACAGTCAGTTGGCATGAAATGGTGTTCATTTTATCTTTTTCCCCAATAATCATGTATCAAAAACAAATATTTTCTATTTACATGATATTTTAAAAGTTGATAATCTTAGTCTTTGGTTTTATGAGATGGTCCCTAATTGAGCCATAAATTATCTTATCATTAGATGGACCACCATCTACTCCCATAACACATGAAAATAATATATATAAGTCAAATATGCACAAGAATCCTCATTCCTATGGCTTTTTAAGTTAGTTATTTTGTGATGTCTTGGTATTTTTAAGAAGTACTGCGTCTTTGTTTGTTGGTAAAAAAATAATAATATTTGTTTGTTATTATCTTCTCTTTTTTCTATTAGCAACATAGTTTTGCCATTTGTTTATTGTCTTATAATGTTAATTTTAATCATTTTTTATTACTCCATTAGGTTTATTAAAATTTGTTTTGCATTGTGATAGTAGTTGCTAGTTTCATTTTCATTATTATATTATATATTGTTAAGTACATTTTATCTTGATATATTTAGTCATTTTGCTGATCTATTTTGTTTTATGTATAATTACTCTTAATTCATTTAGCTTCATTTCATTTAGTAAAAAGTTAAAAAAAAAAAAACACAAGTAAGTTATGTGGTTGTTTTATTTAATTTAGCCTTTGTTCTTCTTTTAATTAATCTTGGGTAGCAGATATGCTAGTAATTACTATTAATATTGTTTTGTTACGTTGTTATTATAATTTAGTTATGGTGTTGGCATTCCATTATTTTTTAATAGTTATTTTTTTGAGATTGTTGGATTTAATTTATATAATTTTTGTTGGTCGCAAACAAATTTAATTCAATTTCATCTAGGTTATTGCTTTTTCTCTTTATTGCAAGCCATTGTGTTATCTTGATTATTTTGTATAGGTTATCCTTTGAATTAGTCCTATATTTAAAGATGGCCAATGAAAAAAAATTTCGTCGATTTTGGAGGCCTTTTCATTTTAAAAGACGAAAATTTAATAATAAGTTTATATGTTTTAGTTGTTAGAATTGGCCGATGAAGAAATTACCGTCGATTTTCAAGATCTCTCATGTTCATAAGACGGATTTTTATTTTAAAATTATTATTTGGCTTATTCAATTTTAATCATATTTATTTATTACTAACACTTTTACTAAGTGTGTTTACAGGTACCAAGACTTGCTTCCTTGAAGCTATTTGAAGCGCTCGAATTATATTTTTATTCATTATTTTGTATATATCGATGTTAGGCAAACCTTAGGCCGATAATTATTATTTTATTTTATTGTGTATATTGCATGTTTAATATATTTGTACATTATTTTATTCTCCTCCTTTATTTGAAAAAAAAAATCACTCAATCGAGAACCACAATTGTGGATTTCGAAGGGTGTCTAACCCCTTCCCTTCGAAATAATTTGAACCCCTTACCTAGAATCGAATTAGTTTCGTAGATTATCTTTTAAATTATTTTATTAATTGATTTTCTAGTTTTCCTAAAAAATTATTACTCTTTTAATCGATTTTAAAATTAAATCGACATTGCTCCCATTTAAAAAAATGTCAATAAGCTCTCGCAAACATTACAGTGCCAATTTTCTTCTTGCAGAATGTAAACGGTTTATCAAATAACACTGACCAGACCAAAAGGTTGAAAAGAATTGTCATTTTGTCTACCAACTGTCAATAAGGAAGACAAAAAAAAAATTGAACTGAGAGAAGCAATTAAATAAAGATGAAAAAACATATCTTACAAGAGAACATTTACAAGGGAGTATCTTGACTGTGATTCCGTTATACTTGAGTCCCAATACACTGACTGAGAAAGGGGTAAACAGAAATGAACAAATGGCTAAATTTCCTATACTCTAACATCAAACAATTGGGCAGCATGTACAACTATATCGATTTTCAAACCATAAGAAAATAAAAATGCTGAACAGTAAAAAACTACTGGACAGCCTTGTGGTTTACCTAATACAATACACTCATGTTACATGTCGAAATGTTGAAACGTTATCCTCATCTCACAGTGATTATGATACAGTCAAGAGATGGAGCTTTGCGTCAGTACATATCCAAATTGCATGATCCATAGCAGCACCTTTCATCTTGTAAGATATGGATGGAATTTTCATCAGGAGAAACTTTGGTTAACCCTTTTAGTAAATCGAAGTCCAGTATCCTGAAACCTTCACTTCATAAGAGTCCAGTATCCTGAAACCTTTACTTCATAAGAGGGCTGAGTCCATCACCTTCCCAACCCAGCTTAAGCATTTGATCTACTACCTTCAAGCTCAACTGCATATGGATATGGATGGAGAGTCAACACTAAGATGTTTACAAGCTATAGAAAGCCCAAATTGCCCCATATTCTAGGTGCCCAAACTATGTGATTGAATAAATGCACCATATTCTAGGTGGTAAAACTTTGGTATTCAACTTCTAAAGATTCTTTTTTTTTGTAGACTGAACAGACTCAATTTCTTAAAAAATATTAATCATGATAAACTTTTTCTATAGCCATGAGCTCCAAAGTTTCCAGCTTCAAAAGCTCTCACCCCATTTACCATCTATACTCACCATGTAACTCATTTGACACTTCAACAGGGAGATTCTCTTAGCAGACATTTTCCAGTAGGTTATCCTGAAAATTTTCTTCTAACGGAATGGAACTTGGGGGATACGCTAATCTTTTCTTTTGTTTCATACTATATGAGGTGGGGCCCGTGCGGTAGGGAAAAGAAGAAATTTCATGGAAGAGTTGGTAGTGTGACACAGACAATTGAGGATATGGTAGATCAAAAATATCATTCTATATTGTATGTAAAATGGTTAAGGTCACATCTTTTACATGATTAAAAGTATTCAAAGAGGGAAATGATATTCCACAAAGAACTGTTAAACATAACTTTCAAAGAGATAACTCATGGCCCTTAATATGCACAAAATGCAACTTGACACAAAATCAAAGGTGTGTAGGGCTTATAGAGTCACACGAACTGCACTAACATCTCATATATCTACTCACTTGGAGATATTTATAGAATGAAGAAAATAGGGGTGAAATTGGAAATAGAACTCAAAAGTCGCCATTAGCAAAACACTTACCACAAAGAGAGAGTATTCAACTTACCGCAGGATCTGTGAAGATTATCAACTGCCTATCAGCTGTCGATAACAAGAGATTAGTGTTATCCTTGTTCAGAGCCAGAGCCATAACATCTTGACCCTTTCCAAGCTTCATAATGTGAGATACCTGCAAGCCAAAATATCAGCTTCTAGTTCATACATATATGCAAAGCATGGTGGGAGATGGGTCCTATTATCAAGCAACTAAGAAAAAGGGATATCTAGTTGCATTGGTTAGAAGGTGCTAAGAAGCAGCATAGACAACCCAGACTAGGCAAAGCAGCAAACAAACAAACTAGATGGTCGGCCTTACAGTTCCTCACTTAATGGTGCCAGTATTAACTTATACATGAAAAGAAAAAGGAAAATAAGGTCCAAAGAAAGGTGTCATTATACCTTTAAAGTAAAAATGTCGAGGAAGCAGATTGAAGGGACAGAGATATCTAATCTATTTCCTTCACTGTTTTCATCTAATTCTCCATCAGAATCTCCAAGTTCTGGCTTTTGCAACTTGTTGTCCGATGGTCCATCATTTTCAGAATATGGATTTACCCCAAGCAAAGCATTTTGTCCGTCAACAGAAATCTCCATGCAACTAATGGTGGAGCAGAGAGGAAACTGAGTTCTAGCAATAAGAATCCCATTAAGAGTAAAGGTGCTTAGTGTTTTATGGAACTTGTTCCAAGCCATTATAATTCCATCAGATGACAGACAGACAGAATGTGCCTCCACTCCAACCAGCCTTCTGACCAATCGACCCCTTCTTATGGTATGTAGCAAAACATCTGACGAATTGGAGCATGAAACCACAATACCAAGATCTGAACTAACACAGCAACATAATATATCCCCAAGATGGCCTCGTAGGACATGTATGGGACCCTCGATTCGATGCCTCTTACTTTTATCTCTCAAGCTGTTTGGTGTAGTACTGGTTGAAGGTGTGCTTGAACCAGTGGAAGCCTCTGATGTGCTGCTTCTGTGCAGTGTTGACGCCCTATTTATTCTCCAGAGAAGCACGGTGGAGTCTCTAGACCCTGTTACAAGATAATTGCTATCTGAAGACAAAG